TGGTTACTGATTCATCATTTATTTTTCCACTGTTGGAATGTAAGATACATGAGGGAAGGGTCCTTATTGATCTTGTTTAATGTAAACAAAGCACTCAGAACTGCACCTGGTATAGAGTAAATGCTTGACAAGCTCTTGTTGAAGAAATAAGTGAATAACTACTATGAAAAGATTATTTTATCTTCTTACAGTATAATAAGTTAATGAATATGTTATGCATACAGGTAGCATAGTTTCCATTCATCACTCATAGGCAGTTATCTATGGTGAATGAAGAGTGTCGTACAATAAAGCAAAGAATAAACTGTTCATATAAATAGAGCTTCAAGGAAAGCAATGTGTAGGATCATGGTTGTGCCAAAGTTACAATCCTGTAGTGAAGTGGAACATATTCATTATATATCACATTCTTTCTTTGTTTGCTTTTCCTATACAAACTCTTCTGCTTAACTTCCTCAGGAAAAAGAAAGCCACTGCTTTGCTGGTTATTTGCAAAACTGCTTACCCCAGGGGCTTTTTGGTTTTTTTTTTTTGGTTTGTTTACAAAAATGAAAAAAGTCATTTCTGTGTATAAGAGCACTTTGTATTCTTGAAGGAGAGATTCACACTGCCAATCACTTACATAATCTATTTTGTTTTTCATCTGTATTGAAGGGCATTCATACCTATATATTACCGTGTGCAAACGTAGGGAATCCAAAACTATTCTCTGTGGTCGTTTGGATTGTTAATCTCTCCAGGGTTTCCTCAACAGGCTCAGAAGCAGTTTCTGGCACCAAAGGGAAAATGGAGAAGTTGAGATGCAATTTTATCTCCCAATTGAACTTGATTAAATGGGGACTGCTCTAATCAAAAGTTTGAATCCTAGGGGAGTGCAATGTTGTTAACGGGCTGGAGAATATTTGAGAAGAACAGGGAGGGAGAATGCTGAAGTTAAGGCAGAGACAGAATCAGGCAAGAAAATAATTGTAGTAAAGCTTATTAAGGCATAAAATTAGGTGAACAAATTGCTTCACAGATAGTGTTAAGCTCATTGCTAGACTGGCAAAGGAAGTGGAAGAAAGCTCTTTGAAAACATTATTTTTATTATTTTAATAATTTGTGTAGGAATTGTAGTAGCTGCAATCTGTTAGCCAGAAAAAATTGCCAGCTGGTGTCATCGTGGAGTAACTATAGTAGGCTGAATACAAACATGTTTTTCCTTTTTACCTGGAGAGCATTCAATTTTAGAAAATTTCTATTTATTTTCACCTAAATGAGAGGTCTGCCCTTGTAGATAAGAAAGCCTGTTTATTGCATGATTTAAGAGCTCTGATTAGTTTCACACCGAGTTCCACCGCTGGGGATAGGGAGACCACTCCTGGGACAGACAGTGTTCACACCACCAAAGTTGCCTATCATTAAGAACGAATACTTGGGCCCATGCCTGAATTAACTGTGTCACTGCTTGATTCTACGCACTGCTTTCTTTGTGGTTACCTCAGGGAAACTGTGGTACTTTGTTAGGTATTTTACTGAAAGCAAAAAGAGATTTGGGATAATGTTCTTCGAAGAGGGTTAAAGGTACACTTATTTATGGAAACATGTTTTGTTAGCAACATAGCTGTTATATTTGTTTGTTATCATGTTTTCTTCTGAAATTCTCCTAATTTCTTTTAACAATGATATAATCATGTTAAATTGTATTGTCTTTCTCATTTATCCGGAAACTCACTGACTAGGCCCAAAATGCTGCAGGATGTAGAGATTGCTCAGCTTTGTCTTAAAGCCAGAGGGAGGGGTGGGGAAATAACTGAATTGTTCTATTGGAATTCCATTGTCTCTTCCTGCCTTTTGACTCAAAGGGTCTGGGGAGGGGAGAGCAGAAATTACGGGCTCTGTTGTTGATGTTCATCGGATTTCTTCAATGGAGATTTGAATGTATTTCAGGGATATTAGTGGTTTCTAATCCCGGCTCTGCTTTCACTTAGCTTTCCTTGGTTCAGTTTCGTTATCTCTGAAATGGGATATTATGCCCCTCTTACATCCTTAGAGTGTTGTTCTGAGAAAGAGATGAGATAATGGCCTGGAAAGTGCTTTGCACTATACAAACTACCACCAGCACTCCGGTTATACATTTGGGTAGCTAACAAGGTTATATTTATCCATGTGATAGCAAGTGATTTTATAGAAAATGAGAAACTTCTCAAAGTAATATATGATACATTTTTACTTTGCTGAAGCAAACGTATGTATTTTAAAATAAGAATGCCATTAACTAGATGCATTCAGGAAATAATTGTTGGAATTTTGGTTCTATTTCAATCTCTCGGGAGAGTAGTGTGATGCCATTAATAGGATTTTAAACTTGAAGTGAAAGAAAAAGAACCAAGTAAGCTTTATAGAAGCCGATTCATCTTACCTAACACCCTTCTTACTAACATAGGTCATACAGTATCAGGAAGGGCCTTGTTTGTACAGTTGAAAAGAGGAAAGGAAGCAGAGAAGGGAAGCTTTGTTGAGATGAATCCCACCTGCCTAGAAAACTAAAAATAACTTCCCATGGGCAAGCTTTGGCATCTCTGAAACAGATCTGGATCTTAACTGATGGCTGCGAAGGGGACAGTCTGACAAATGGAAGAGGTCAGCATGGTGTCTGAGGAAGAGACAAGTATCTCATAGATCTGTAAAGGAGGCCAGGTGGGAAAGTTGGCTAATATGAAGGCATGGAATGCAAGGCATGGCTGACGGGGACTGGCAGGGTAGCCAGGAAGGACATGATGGTATGGGCCCGGGTATCAAACTGCAGTCTTGACCTTCAGTCCACTGCCACTCTCCACTTGGGTCAAACAAGACCAGGAATTTACTCCAATTGGATGGTACATTTCTCCATTATCCGAAAAACAGAAATTGATATTAGGTAACAATTCAGTTCCCAGTTAAATGCAAAATTTAGATGTTTGAAAAACAAAGTTTTTAAAAACATCTTCACATACACAACAGCTTATTTTTGTTACAAAACGCAGGTGTTGGTCTTACTGTCCGCATTGGGGGGACGTGGTGAGTCTTGCACATTTAGGAGCTCAACGTGTATTAGTAGGATGCATTTTAGGAGGAGACCCCTAAACTCTTCTTATACTCTAAGTATTGCACGGTTGTGGAAAGGACTATCTGATGCTGGAAGGAACGAAGTGGGCGTTGAACACGGAGCCTGAGTGACACACGGCAGGTGCACAATGGCACCTCACCAGGGCTGGATGCTGGTTGAATAAAGTTGTAGAGTTGGACACACCAAGTTTGTCGTTGAGGAAGGACTGGACTAAAACTTGAGCACCAGTTGGAATGTCTTGGGTAGGAATGAAAAGCAGTCTGGAGCCAGTTTCCCCCGCTGACAAGGGGCCAGCCCGCTCTCCTGAAGTCCAGCGTGGGTGAGGCCGCCGGCGGGGCGCAGGTGCCATCCCTGTGGCCAGGCCGGCCAGATAGCTCCGCGCCGCCAGACGGAGAAAGCTGAGGATCAGAGGGCTCGCTCGGCGCCCGCCACGCTCTCCCCGCGGCCTCCCTGGCTCCGCCTTTGCCTTCCCGAACCTCTCCTCCCCCGAGGCAGAAGGGATTCCCTCCGCCTGGCGCCTCCCGGAGCCCGCCGCGCCGCGGACTCCTCCCCTGGAAACTCCTCCGGGGCCGGCGGGCTTCGGCGCATGCTCCGTACCTAGGGCAGGTTTCTGCTGCGGGTAGCAGGGCTCCCGTCACACCGGCTGGCGGGTTGTGGCGGTGCCAGCCGGCGTGTGCGAGTGCCCGCGTGCCCGCGCCTGGGCGGACCGACCCGGAGCAGC